ATTTTTATAAAAATATACCATTTCCCCGAAAATAAGAACTCCCTGGATAATAAGCCCAATCGGGCTTTTGAGTGCATGTGCTAAAATAATCCCTCCCCTGAAAATAATCCCTCCACGAAAATATTGCAACACAGCAGCAGCCATGAGGTGACCACGCTCTCCGCCTCCTGCACCTCAAAAATAATAAGACCTTCCCCCAAAATAAGGCCAAGTGCTTATTTTGGGAGTCAAAAGAAAATAAGACCCTGTCTTATTTGGGGGGGGGGAACACGATATTAACTTTTATATTTTTATACTTTACATTTTTAATATTGCATATAAGTGGACACCTGTCACCTTAATCTTGGAGAACACTGGAGAACTCCGGCAACAAGACTTGATGGACTCAGGCTCTTTAATTCCCTCCATACTATGACACATTCTACTGCGGCATTGCTTTTCTGCAACTATCTAAAAGCAGAATTAAAACCGGGGTTCAACATTTAATAAATTATTATACTCCTTGGGTTACAACCATTTCATTGTTCAAAGTTAAAATGGCATAAAAAAAAAGACTGCCAATCGTTTTTCACACTTATAAGCATCCTCCCCCTCCTCACCTGATCAAAATTTGGCTGCTTGGCAACTGGCATGTATTTATGACGGTTGCAATGTGCTGGTGTCATGTGATCACCTTTTGTGACTTTCTGACATTGCGAAGTCAGTGGGGAAATTAGATTCACTCAACAACCCTATTACCAGCTTAATAATTGCAGTGATTCACTTAACTGTGGCATGAGAGGTCATAAAATGGGGCACAGCTCACTTAGCAACAGAAACTTGGACTTGATTGTGAGATCATAAGTCAAGGACTTGCTGTAGTATCTGGAAATGCCCAACATCAGGACCACAACTGTATCTTCCACAAAATGACTCTAGCAAAAGCAAGCCCCGTTTATTAATGTTCAAAGTCCATAATCTTACTTACGTAGCTCAAGCTTCTGTCATAGAAAATTGCTTCCCCATTCTGCATGAGTGGGAGGGATTAGGAGTTAATTTAGCACTTAATTATGTGGTAATTAATGGATTCCTGGCCCCTGAGCCATGTGAAAAGCAGCTTTATTTTTTGGGTTCCCGGTTTAATTTTAATGTATTCTTCCCCCCTTTTTTATTGTTAAAGATGATCTGTTTTGCAAGTCACACTCCTCAAACGTGCATATTTCATTTCCCAGGAGATTTCCTTCATCTCTAATCAATGTCACTTTCTCTTCCACGGGAAAACCAGAAACTGGGAATATATGATTTCAAATGAAAAATGAGCTAGTGTGCTAATAACAGCTTCTCACCCATTGTCAATCTTCCCTCTTAAATTCTGAATCTGCTTTTAGTTCACATACTAACAAAAAAGCTAAGGTAGCCAGGGAAAGGTTACACACGAACATAAGGGAAAGTTGTTGTTGTTGTTTTTAATTAGACATCTATCCACCTTTCTAAGGGCTTGGCAATCTCATCATTTAATGGAATAAAATAGCTCCAACTCTGCATAGGGAACCAAGGGGGAAAGGTATTAAGAGGATGTGACCAAGAAAGTCAAGATAGCAATAACACTCATAACATTTATAATAGCACCACTATAACACCACTTTATAGTGCTTTATAGCCCTCTCTAAGCAGTTTACAGAATCACCATGTCGCCCCCAACAATCTGGGTCCTCATTTTACCAACCTTGGAAGAATGGAAGGTTGAGTCAACCTTGAGGTGGTCAGGATCGAACTCCAGGCTGTGGGCAGAGTTAGCCTGCAATACTGCATCCTAACCATTGCGCCACCACGAGAGTCATGATGATGATGATGATGCAATGCCCATACATGCCCAGAGCCGAGGTGGCGCAGTGGTTAGGGTGCAGTACTGCAGGCCACTTCAGCTGACTGTTATCTACCGCTTTTTGTCGTTTTCCATACCTC